CACACACACACACACACACACACACATATACACATACACATACAAACACATACACACACACACGCACATACATACCCAAACACACACACACACACACACACACACACGAACACACACACACACACTCAATATTATACATATACGAAATGGTCACCTATATAACAGCTGATATCCTACAAATGTTTACTGGCATTCTTGTATTCAGCCAGCCTTTGTCTTTGCTGAACGGCTGTATGCATTTAAAACATTGTCTTAATTTAATGATAATGTTAATAAGGCTAGATGAAGACTACCCGACTATCCTGTGTATTTTTCTTTTAAATTCCTTTCCTCTTCTCGTCTTACCACAGCGTCCTCTCAGACGCCTGCGAAACTGTGTGATCAGTAACGTCACTATAAAATCCCCCCCCCCCCAAAAAAAAAAATTGATTAAAAAGCAGTGTACCTTTAGAGGGCACCACTGGTTGGGCCTATTTCTACTATTCATTCCTCTTGGCGTTTCTTGCTTTTATTTTTACCTGTACTATAAATGGTGGTTGCCAAGTGTCGATATATGAATTTGTTTACTAAAACTGTAAAGCTCTTTGCAAAATGTTGTAAATAATATGTTATTTCGCTGATTATAATGAACAAAGCGCTGTCATAATATTCATATCATCTCTTTTTTTTTTCTCTTTTTTTCTCAGTGAGGAAATCTCTCAGACGGAGAAAGCCAAGTTCGGAGAGCTCTGTCAAGTAAGCAAATGTCGTGTGATCTTGTATTTAAATTAATTAAAAGTAAAATAAATGTTAATGTCAAGTGATTTTTTGCCTTGATGTCTTCGAAATAAGAGGATGTCTGATGTTGTATTTTCTTTCCTTCAAAATAGCAGGTTGTCGAGTACGCTTTTGTGTTATCTTGTTCTCATTTCTTGTGTTTTGTGAAAAAAGAGACAATTGTGTTCTGAAAAGTGAGAGAATGGTGTATATTTTGTGTTGTGTGTTCCTGTAATTTGAATCGTGAGAGAATGTTTTGTGTTCCTGTGTTATGTAAAGTAAGAGAATGTTGCGTGTTCTTGTGTTTTGTTTGGCTAAGTTCGAGAATGTTCTGTGTTGCCGTATTTTGTGTTTCGTACTCTATAAAGTGAGAGAATGTTGCGTGTTCTTGTGTTTTGTGTTCTGTTAAGTAAGAGACGTGTGTGTTGTCGCGTACTGTGCATAGAAAAATACTGAGAGAAAAGTTGGAGCATGTTTTAGTGGTCTGTTGTCACTCAAAACAGAAAATGTCCTGTGCTCAGATACAGTCTCAATCAGTACACCGTCAATACAAATGCACTGTCTCCGCACCTGATTGTGAAAAGTTCCCTGTTTCGAACAAATTTGCTTATTGACGAAATCTAAACACGTTTTAAAATCTTCAACTTTACATGGCCTAACAACTTCTAGGAATATCCCCTTCTAAACCACGTAACGTATTCCTGCTCTCGCACTGTGTACTGGTGTATGTGTGTGTCTGTGTGTGAGTTTGTGTGTGAGTATGCACGTGTGTGTATGTGCACGTATGTGTGTGAATGTATAGTGTGTGTATGTGTGTGTTTACGCACACACATACGTGCGTGTGTGTGTGTGTGTGTGTGTGTGCGTGTGTG